ATGTTTTATTTTGGACTTCATCTTCCACAGTTTTTCCATAAATCAAACAGTTGCCTATTTAAATCATGAAAATAGAAGATTTTAAGCAACATTTACTCTGCCACTTCTCTAATGGGTGCTTTATGTATGCATAATATGTGTGTTTGTCACATTACCGTTTAATTTGATTGACTATAAAGTCAAAATCCTTTTTTTTTTCTAGGTTTATATTTAAATTATATGCACTTTGCTGCACTTAACAAATTTAAGATCTGTTCTTATTGTATTATACCAATGCTGACACATTGTGCCACTTGTCCTTTTTGACCATCCTGAGCCAAACTCAGCTTTCTTCTTCTTTTTTTTTTTTGCATTGTACAGGTTTCACAGTTCAAACACAGTGAACTGTAGCTTTACTAACCAGATGCTTAAAATTCCCTTCGCTGCTGCAACACAGAATTACTACGAAAAGTTACATTTGTATGTTCTTTTTCCATATAAAATATGGCTGCTACTTTCATTTTACCATGTTTGTTGTCTTAATACTACTGACCACGCTTGCATAACCACTTCAAACACCTTTATCACTCACTTGTCTCTATTAAAGCTGCAATAGAAGGCACATACCCACTGTAGTGTGAATTGTAACCTTGGAAACGGACACAGATCTCTTGCCTGCTTGTCTTTGTGTAGTTAACCACTGCGCTGATCTATTTTCACTTGTGTGGGTCAGTGTTACATATGTGGACCTAGATAATGTTAATAAAAACATCATGACCCATGCTTTAGTATACAGTGCCTTCCACTCAGGTCAGTTTATATCTGCACACAGAACACATTCACAGATCTCTAGAAGAAAGGAAATCGATAAAACTTGCTATATGTTTGCAGTATAGGCTTCCAGCTTTTCTTTTCTAACTTTTAAGTTCTCTAGCTATTTGCGCAATTAAAAAAAAAACAACTATTTCAAATCTTGATCTACCTGAAATGGTCTTTCCACCATCCCCAACTTCTTAATGTCTTTTTTAACTTTTAAGTTTACCTGCATCTCATGGTTGCAAATGTGAGTTTGGCTGCCTAATTATTCGAAACTGGAAAAGTAGCCAAGTCCAAATAACCAAACGACCTGCAAGAAAAGTTGGTGAGGAGAATGACTGGCGTGCAGGAAGATGTTTACAGATCTGGCCTGGTTAAATCAATTGCCAGCCTTGCATGAACTGGTTAATCTGGACACCAGTGAATTCAGCATGTACAGATGTTTGCACTGCACAAAATACTTTGTGGTGGCAGACACTTTGCCTCGTGAACAAGCTCGGCTTTAGTTACGCAGGTGGTTTAGATGTGATTTTTGTATTTTATTTTTTTTTTACCTTACTTGCTCTGACGTGTCACTGATCGAGAACTCAGAAAATGTTGCTTAAGATTTATCCGTAATAATCACACAATAGAAGAAAAGAAAAAAAAAACGACAAAACCTCCTTGTTAGGAGTATGATTTTCTTTCAGTTCTGGAATATAATGAAATAATGAATGTACAATAGACAAAGGGTGTGGGGTGGAGCATTTAAACAGCACTTACTGTATAAGCTTATCTCTGAGCGTTCTGATACAACGCATCGTTTTTGCTGAGTTGGTCCTCACGTTATCGCTGGTCTTTATGCTCTTAATGATAAAGTCTCTGTAGTCGCTTCTATAACTTCAACCTTATAGCAAGAGTGAGAACCAGCAGGGCTTTGGTGCAGAGGATCATTGATATAAAGCATGAGAGAATGACCTTTTGTTAGGATCCAGTATCTTCTGAGTTCCAACATAACCCAAATGTACATCAGTAAACTTAAGCGAACCTTTGTTTTCTCTATAGAGTGAAGCATTGTGATGTTGACACCTCTTTAAAGCACACAGTCTAGTGCACACTTTAGGTCTGGGATTTTATTTTTATGTTTTTGGTTTTGTGTAATTCAAATGAAAGCTGACCACAGGACTTGCTTCGATGAGCACAGAGAACAAGGTGCTTGAACCGAGGGGTAATAAATGAGACGTATGTGACATGATGTGCCATTGTTGTCTTATTTTTGTTTTATACTTGCATGTTTTCGAAATGCATGTGGGTAAATGTAATTTTCAGACGAGTTGCGCTTTATTAACATACAACACGTGGAAAAAACTGTATAATTTTTTTCAACTCAGTCTTGGGAGAACAATCATATACCAAAAAAAAAACATCTTCACATGGTATCATACTTTCCTAACAATTTTAACTGAATCATATTTTTTAAACATAAATTGTTGTAGAAAATTTTATGACGCTATCAATATTTTATCATCTGGTATCAGAGTAATTTCTTACACAAATATTTTTCGCGTGGGAAAATGTTGCTCCAGCTGCCATGCATTGCTGCAGACTGCTTACTGCAGTATTTTTACGATGACATCATCCCTTCATGTCTTCTGAGGGGATACCATGTGGTTGTTTTCTGTACATGCAACGCGCCTACAAATTAAAAGCCAACAGATTATTTTGTCATACACCAAACCCGGTGAAGAAAACATTTATTTTAAGCGCCATATATCAGTCATTCTAGTCCGATTTGCGTCCACTGAACCTTTAAACAGTTGGAATGAGAGACGTGGAAGCTGATTGGTCAGTTTTTTTGCGTATCCCTTGGCAATGACCAATCAGCGTAGTTGGCAGATTCAGGTGGTAAATCCTGATCCAGCCTCTGACTGTACGGCACAGAGCCCTCTGCTCTCTGTAGTGTATTTTTCAACCCAGCTTCGGTTGCTTCCCCCCCTCCTCTGTGCCGCCGCCATTAAAGCCCGTCAGTATGGTGTTTGGGAATCGGGAGGGGGGGGAAAGGATTAAAATGATTTAAAGCGTCCAAAACAACAACCGAGGGACGGGACCAGTGGGGGGGTTCTTGTTCCACAGTGCCCGTTTAACGGCGCTCACCAAAAAGTAAATATGCGGTTGGTGTTCAAGTGAGAGAAGCCCGAGTTCGGACTGGCGAGGGTTTCTCCGACGGGGGTGGAGGTCCATTTGTTTTGGCTGCAGCGGGGGACTGGAGTGTAACACAGCAAAGCAGAGGTGAGGGTTACTTTACGGCTTTGTGCATTTTGAATAATAAAAAAAAAAGGCCTCCCTGGCGGTTTAAATATAATCCCGTCATGTTAGCGGGGCAGCCTGCTAGCTTCTAACCGGAGGTTGTCATGTAAACTAACCAGCAGCTAGCTCCCGTCTGTTTACACATAGCGTCAGGAGCTAGTTTGTTTTTGTTTGAAATGACCCCCACGGATCGCCCATTTATGAAGTAAAATTGAACATTTTCGTAGAAATGACCACGGTTGTGTTAAGTGTCCGCATCTGGAGCTGCTATGGTTGTGTTAGCATTGCACACAGCTCTGAGTGGAAACGATCACAGGTCTCAAACTGAACGCTGTGTGTTGTTGGTAAACTTAGAGGCGTGGTGTAAACACCAGACATGTTTACTCCCCTCTGAGCTGCTTTTCTTACAGCTTTGCCTCTCGTAAGAAATGGGATGTTTCAATAAAACATGTGGCTTGGATCATCGAGTTTTGTGTGCAGGTAATAACAGGCTTTGGGGCGAAATCAGATTAAGGTATGCCTGGATTACTGAACTGGCCAGCAAGGTTCAAACCAAGGGACCCAAAATAATCTGGGTGGGGGGCTGACTTTCTCCTAAATGTCACACACTTGAATCAATGAAAGCAACAGCACAACAAGGAACCTTAAACAATTGCAGGAGGCAATCAAATTGCAGAAAAAAAAAAGATTTTGGTTTAATAAATAGAGCAAAAATGGCCACACAGACAACTACAAAATGAGATAAACTATAGTAGGGATGTACACACAGGTTGGGAAATTAAAACTTTCAGAGGCAACTTCAAAGAGATTTTCTTTTTTTTTTCCAGTCTGACCATTTGGCTCCTCTATAGTAAAGTGGGTGGGAGCTATTTACATGTCTGTGCCTGGGTGCCATTCTCTCATAATCCATCCATAATTTCAGTGCTTCACTAAGTGTCTTAACCAGTCACGCGCCTCCCTGCTGAGTGTCAGGTTTCATCCGTCCTTGCCTCTCATTACCCAGCTCAGTTGTAGGGCACAGTTGCCTTCCGCGTGAACGCACTGTATGTTTTTAAATTGAGTGTCCGAGTGTAACAGAATCAAAAACCTCCACTTTCACCACTGTGCTTTCTCTGTAGCTTTGCTGCAAGTTTGCATCAAGTCAAGAACAAACAGTGCTGCTGATTTTTGTTGTTGTTGTATTTGAGGCTTTATTACAACATGTTTATCCCAGTGTACTACTGAAAATATTCACAACCCACGTTTGGAAAATGGTAGCAAAGTATTTGGTATGTTTAATCGCTGGATCCTTCTTTCTCCTATGCATGCTGTTAAATAGACGAAATGTGTTAAATATTGCGTCAGTATAATATTCACTAAAATGTGCAACTTTTCTTATTCACCTAGTTTCCTGCTTGCTGTGTGATCTCCATAAGAGTGGATCTGCCGAGCTGACAGTCCCCCTGAACGGCTGGAAACCTCCTTTAGTGGCAGCGCGACGATGACAGAGCTGGGTGCCAAGTGGGCTTGTGAATACTGCACATACGAGAACTGGCCATCGGCCATCAAGTGCACCATGTGCCGCGCTCAGAGGCCCAGCAGGGGTGCCATCATTACTGAGGAGCCCTTTAAGAGTAGTCCTGCCCTGGATGCCAGTTTGCATCAGTGGGACCCCGCAGGCCTCAGCAACAGTCCATCTCAGGGGGGATCAAGCCTACTCATTTGTCCAGACTCTAGTGCCCGACCTCGCGTTCGCATTGCTGATGTTCCTGAGACCACTAGTAAGTGGTCGTGTCACATGTGTACTTACCTGAACTGGCCTCGCGCTATTCGTTGTACCCAGTGCTTGTGCCAGAGACCACAATCTCAACAGCAGCATGGGCAGCATGCACCACATCAAGGACATCATACCCAGCAACCCCACAGCCCCACGGAATCACCGCAAACTTCAGGCTCTGGATGTCGTCCCACTCCCCCAACCACTACTACAGACCCTTGTGAGGAATATAATGACCGCAACAGGCTCAACACTAATGCACAGCACTGGACCTGCATGGCCTGTACTTATGAGAACTGGGCTGAGACACTCAAATGTGTTGTGTGCGATCATCCCAGACCCAATAGTCTTCTTGCTGAATCTATCGAACTGGCGTCAGGGCCTGAAAGGCCGTCCTCAACATTTAACGAGCAGGACCAGGACAACAGGAGGAGTGCTGTCGGGCAAGGAGTTGGGGGTGTGGTAGGGGGAGTGGTGGGCTGTAGCAGCAGTCAGCGGAGATCACCTCCATCTGAAAAACGGGAAACTGAAGTGAACATGGACTTTCAGAGGATTGAACTAGCGTCAGGAGCAGGGATTGGGAGCAAAGAGGAACTCGAGGTGGATTTCAAGAAATTGAAGCAGATTAAGAACAGGATGAGAAGAACAGACTGGCTTTTCCTCAACGCATGCGTTGGTAAGTGTAAAGCATTTTGGACATTAGTTTTTTTTAAATGTATTCTCATATTTTAATTTACGTTGGGAGAAGTACATTAATTAAACAGTTTAAAGTCCTTTTTTTTGTAATTTGCATCCTGCTAATGCTCAAATTCTTAGTTTCTCTGCTTTGAGCCAGTAAAAAGTTCCCTCCAGCAACATTTAGCCACCCACACTGTACACTGATGAAAGCTGTAGGAGAGAGGTGAAGGATGAAGATTAAAAAAAAAAAACACGGTTTAAAATCTAGTAACTGATTCCTTTCCCCCTTTCTCTCAACACTGTTTAAGGCTATTTCTTGCATTTGTCATAAAGTTGGACAGGTATGTTAAACCTCCCATCCCGTTTTGCCTTCAGTGTTTTTCAACAGTTATTCTGTATTATCCTGACAACATAAATTTGTCAGAAACAAATCAAAATTTGACTGCTGGGTACATGTTTTCTAGCAATATTTTTATGTTGCGCTTGGTTTGCGTCTCAGCATAAACTGGACTTTTTTTCTGGACATGACACATGCAGGCCTTCATGTCTCTGAAATATGAGAAGGTGTCCTTTCTATTTCACATATTCAAATGTTAACTCTTCTGCCTATCTAAGGGAAAATGTGCCTAGTTAGATTCTCGATTGTCTACAGAAGGAAACAAAACCCAAATCCAAAGCAACACAGTGCCGCAGCGAGTTGTTTTGTATCTGTCTTTGAATGTGTCCACACTGGCAGTTATATAGACAGACAGTCATGGGAAAAAGGAAGTCTACCTTCTTTCAGTTCTGGGGATCTATGTAGCAGGACATAAAACAATGTGGTCTTTATCAGGTTCTAAAATGATTTCAACTTTATCTCCAGTGTAGAAAACACACAACAAATTCCACCATGTCATTATTTATTAAACAAAACAAGTCAAAGTAGAAAGGCAGTGAAAAACTCCATTTTTTGTTTCTGTTACTTGTAGTCACTTTTAGCAACAGTAACTTGAACTACGTAAGATGTATTCTAGTAGTTTGTCACATAATTGTTGAGGAATTTCAGCCCACTCTTCTTTACAACACTGTTTCATTTGATTTGACCTTTGTGGGTATTTGTTTCTGCACAGGGATTTTATCACATTTGAATTGGGCCGAGATCTGGCGTTTAACTGCTCCACTGTAACACCTTATTTATTATATTTTATTATTTATTTACAGTCATTCTGTTGTAGATTTTCTGTCAGACAGATGGCGTCACGTTTGACTCTAGAAAACTTGGGTATAAGGAGGATTTCAACAACTGCAATGCGCCCAGAAGAGCAAACCCTTGACAGTTGGCATAAGCTGTTGGTGCTGATATGCTGTGCTTGATTTTTGCCAGTAGTGTCACTGTGCATTGTAGCCCAACATGTCAAGGGCTCTGAATAAAAGTCTTGTCCTTCATTCAGTTGCAACTTTGTAAGTTAAGCTGTGCTGCCAGTTGTGCTCTTTTAGAGAGAAGAGGTTTTCTCCTGCAACACTTTCAAAATGGGCCATACTTGTTCAGAATGTGTCTAATTGCACTGCCATGTTCTTAATTATTTAACTTAGGCCTGTAGAGTCTGAGATGTAGCTTTTTTTTTTTTTTTACTGTTTCTGAGAATTACACAGTTTCTCAAAGGGCTGAATTGCAGGGATGTCTAGTCCTGGGCAGATTGGCATGTTGCTTTAATGTTCTCTCCAGTTGTAAATTATCTTTGGTAATGCAGATTGATGGACTGGTGCTGCAGTACAGTGCCTTGTGAAAGTATTCGGCCCCCTTGAACTTTTCAACCTTTTGCCACATTTTAGGCTTCAAACATAAAGATATAAAATTTAAATTTTTTGTGAAGAATCAACAAAAAGTGGGACACAATCGTGAAGTGGAATGAAATTTATTGGATGCGTCAAACTTTTTTTAACAAATAAAAAACTGAAAAGTGGGGCGTGCAATATTATTGGGCCCCTTTACTTTCAGTGCAGCAAACTCACTCCAGAAGTTCAGTGAGGATCTATGAAAGATCCAATGTTGTCCCAAATGACTGATGATGATAAATAGAATCCACCTGTGTGTAATCAAGTCTCTGTATAAATGCACCTGCTCTGTGATAGTCTCAGGGTTCTGTTCAAAGTGCAGAGAGCATCATGAAGACCAAGGATCACACCAGGCAGGTCCAAGATATTGTTGTGGAGAAGTTTAAAGCTGGATTTGGATACAAAAAGATTTCCCAAGCTTTAAACATCCCAAGGAGCACTGTGCAAGCAATCATATTGAATTGGAAGGAGTATCAGACCACTGCAAATCTACCAAGACTCTGCCGTCCCTCTAAACTTTCATCTCGAACAAGGAGAAGACTGATCAGACATGCAGCCAAGAGGCCCATGATCACTCTGGATGAACTGCAGAGATCTACAGCTGAGGTGGGAGAGTCTGTCCATAGGACAACAATCAGTCGTACACTGCACAAATCTGGCCTTCATGGAAGAGTGGCAAGAAGAAAGACATTTCTCAAAGATATCCATAAAAAGTGCAGTTTAAAGTTTGTCACAAGCACCTGGGAGACACACCAAACATGTGGAAGATGAAACCAAAATCGAACTGTTTGGCCACAATGCAAAACGATATGTTTGGTGTAAAAGCAACACAACTCATCAACCTGAACACACCATCCCCCCGTCAAACATGGTGGTGGCAGCATCATGGTTTGGGCCTGCTTTTCGTCAGCAGGGACAGAGAAGATGGTCAGAATTGATGGGGCCAAATACAGGACCATTCTGGAAGAAAACCTGTTTGAGTCTACAAGAGACCTGAGACTGGGACGGAGATTTATCTTCCAACAAGACAATGATCCAAAACATAAAGCCAAATCTACAATGGAATGGTTCACAAATAAACGTATCCAGGTGTTGGAATGTCCAAGTCAAAGTCCAGACCTGAATCCAATCGAGAATCTGTGGAAAGAGCTGAAGACTGCTGTTCACAAACGCTCTCCATCCAACCTCACTGAGCTCGAGCTGTTTTGCAAAGAAGAATGGGCAGAATTTCAGTCTCTCCATGTGCAAAACTGATAGAGACATACCCCAAGAGACTTGCAGCTGGAACTGCAGCAAAAGGCGGCGCTACAAAGTATTAACGCAAGGGGGCCGAATAATATTGCACGCCCCACTTTTCAGTTTTTTATTTGTTAAAAAAGTTTGACACATCCAATAAATTTCATTCCACTTCACGATTGTGTCCCACTTGTTGTTGATTCTTCACAAAAAAATAAAATTTTATATCTTTATGTTTGAAGCCTGAAATGTGGCAAAAGGTTTAAAAGTTCAGGGTGGGCCAAATACTTTCGCAAGGCACTGTAGCTTTGGTGGTTAGTGCCATATTCTTATAATCCCTAAAGCTGCAGGTTCAAGCCGAGGTTGTGTCACAAAGGACAGTTGGCATTAGTAAAAATTTGCCAAATCTTAGGACAATGAGTTACAACAACATTTAAAATTAATAAAGTATTTTTGAATTTAATTGAATAATGGGCTGGACTCCAAATTGTGTGAAAATTGCTTTATAATTCTAAACTGATAGGCAGCAACGGTTACTGTTATGGTCATTGCAGAGCTCTTTGCTTTTTGGCTTTGTGTTAAGACAAACCTGTTTGCTTCACCAACAAACTGCCAAAAGGCCTGCATGTATAAAGGCGGTCACTGCTAAAGATCAGTTAACAAAGTGCATTTGGTTAGCCACACCTGGCTGCTATTTTCCCCTCCTAATTCCCATGGCAAGATGGACTTAGTATTTCACGCTCAGCCTTTTGACTTTGTTTTTATTTTGAACATGTCTGCGGGGTGTTTTTGTGCACTTGAAGTTAGATTTGAAAAAATTTAGGTCCTTAGAACACCAGATCATCTTAATTTGACATGTTACATAAAACACTAGAACTGAAAGAGGGTGGACCTTTTTTTTTCTGTGAATCTTAAGTATTGGCCCATGGAAATGGCACAAAGTATTTTCCTCCATAAAATCGCTGAATCCTAAGCACTCAGTTAATATTGTATTCGCTTAAATACTCAGTTGTAACATGTTGGGTTTACAGCTGATTGATGTATTAATCAATCATCATCAAAATATTTCTGTTATCACCTCTATCATATGGCAAGTTTAGGTTAGGATAGGTTTATTTGTCATGTGCAAAATCAACACAAGGTCAACAATTCAATGAAATGCTTAGGATGAGAACTGTCTAGACTTGCAAAAAAACAAACAAAAAAAAAACAAAACAAAAAAACAACAGCAACAAGAAATATCCAAGCATGCAGCAAAAATACTACAAGCATACTAAAAAACATATTAAAAATACTACTAACATACTAAAACATATTAAAAAATACTACTGAAATAGAAAAAAAACAAGGCGCCAAAGTTGAAAAAGAAAAACATCTACAGTGTGATTCAGTTAGAGGCGAGGTTCTTTCAACGTCATGGTTCTGTTCTGTTAGCGGCATGGTCTTGTTAGCAGCTTAGCCGGTCTTGCTAGCAGGTCCAGTCCGCAGCTTGATGGTAATAAGAACTGCAGCAGCTGCCCTCACAGACCGCAGTCCAGAACCGGGTCCGGCAGACAGAGAATATCCCAGGTTTCCCCACGGATCTGAACGGGTCTGTACTGCATGTGCAGACAGATGGAGGATCTTGTTAGCAGGTCCGGTCAGCAGCTTGGTGGTAATAACGACTGCAGCAGCTGCCCTCACAGACCGCACAGCAGACAGAGAACATCCCAGGTTTCCTCGTCGAACCGAACGGGTCCATAGAGTTCGGTCTGTGCAGGCAGATGGAGGCTAGCGCTAGCAGCGTTAGCAGGCCCTGCTAGTAGTTTGATGATAATAACGACCGCAGCAGCTGCCCGCCCAGACCGTCCTCCAGAACCAGGTCCAACAGACGGAGAACATCCAAGGTTTTCCCCGTGGAGCCGAACAGGTCTGTAGAGTTCGGTCCATGCAGGCAGATGGAGGATC